CAGAAAAAAAAAAGATAAACATTTTGATAATATATAATATTCATGTAATAAATTTCTTTATTTTTAAAATTAAAACTTACACATAATATAACCTCATCGATGGAGTATAAGAGAGCAAATAATGGTATAACAATGAACATCGGAATGTATAAATTAAATAATACTATAAAACAATAATTATATAAAATTTATAACATATATATATATTAATTAATTAATTAATTATATTTTAAATTGAACTAAATATTTAATCACCTACCAATAACTTACAAATATATTACTAAATGTATGACTTTTTAAAATTAAAACTCAATTTTCAAACCTGTTACTAAATGCATACTGACGACATGTAATACATATATGTTTCAACTCTTGTTTTGATTTTCAAATCAACCCAACACATCTCGAGTGATTGGATAGAACAACACGAAAAAAAATGTTGCTAAATCAAATAAATTAAAGAGAGATATGCATAAGTAAATAGACTTTTAATCAAGTTTCACCTCAACACACAGATTCTATTCTTAGCCACAAATTCATTTTATATAATAGTTTTTATTTCTGTTTTGCCATCAAACAATATCCAAATGTACTTCGTGTTTTTTGTTGTCACTTATGAAAGAACAAAAATATCAAACTTTTAATTTTATTGTAAATATTTTTATAAAAAATTAAAACTAGATATTTATGAATCTCTTATTAGTGTGGGCCGTTTACTCGACATGGATTGTCTGATGGGTAAGTTAGGTGGCGTTGGGCCATTGAAGCCACTGCATGATCCATCTTTTTCATCTCTTTTTGCCCCCAAGTAGGCCGAATAGAAATACCATTTCAGTAAAAAATAAAAAAAGGGTTTAAAATTTATACTTATTACTCATATGTTTGCTTGACAAAAATATTTATTTTATAATAATCCAATATGTGATGCGGCATAAAAGATCTTAGTCAACATTTCGTTAGGACAGTTAGATATATTTTTTTTTATGTAACTTCACACATTTTTATATCACAAAAATAAATATTATCATATAAAGCATATAAATTAATTTAAATTGGCCCATAAATATTGAAGTCAGCATCTTATTGGGATGACTAAAGTTCTGTTATTTCAGAGATCAAAGCGGTTGTTAGTGAAAATTCCATACGTGAAAGTATTAATATTTTGAAATATAGGAACTAAATGACAATTAAATTTCAAGCTTACGGTTAAACCAAACGAAAATTAAGTTCAAAACTCATGAATAAAAATATAACGTTAAAACGATCCAAACTAAAGTTATTATGCATAATCTGAAATTGGGTTTTTTAATTTATCCTATATACCTTTGTAGTTTGTAGGTAGAATATATGTCAAAAATACATTTATCCTACTTGCATTTATCATTGTCACTCTAAATTTAATTTAATTATTATTATTTTTTAGTACGTGTGGGGTCCCTCTAAATTTAGTTGGTACCAAACTCAAAACATTAAACATTTATTATATTCTATGACTTTTTTTTTTTTTAAACGAAATCAATAAAGGACATTAAGCCAAAGAATCATTCAGAAAGTAAAAGGGAAAAAAATCCTTCAGAAAAGGTTTATCGATAATGATAAATAAACATAATCGGATTATCAATGCTTACATTTATATGAAAAACCTTTTATTATTATTATTTTTCTTTTGAATAATACGATTTATAACTTTATTTTAACTGTTG